TACTTATTTACAAAAGCAATTAAAAGCTTTTCTAATTAAGCAATATCATAGTTTTATTGGATTCATTGTTTTTCAATTCAGAGCAGATTTTCAGTTAGATAGCTCAAATTTGAAAAAAAAAGTTGGTTATTTACCATCTTCGAAGACTCCTAATTTTAACAAAAAAAAAAAAAAAAAAAATTCAGGAACCAAAAAGGTTTTGGGCGAAATTTCATTAAATTAAGTAAATGTGAGGTAACATATTTTAAAAAAATTATATTCTTTACCAAAATTTTCTAAAAATATATATTTAAAAAATAATTTCATTCATTTGTGAATAAGTCCTGAAAGTTTCATTAAAATCGGACAATTACTTGATTTTTACAAGAATTTCCAAATCAATATGTTTTTAAAACGGAAAAAAATCGCAAAAAAAATGTTATTTTCTGTGACGCCGCGATGACGTAAACAAAAGAAGAATTTAACCAAAATTTCGAACGTGTTAGAAAGGATTAAAAAATTTCAAAAAATAATTAAAAAATACTTTGGTCTTTCATCTTAATAATAACATAAGCATTTTGACGATAAAACTTTATTTTAGTTAAGTTTGTGGCATTTTTCATTACGCTATATGCTGTTTTCCCGCGAAAACAGTGAACATGCTTAGTGTTGTTAAAAGTCTTCAAGTGGTGTCGTTTTTGCTACAGTTCTTTGTGATTATATAGCGCCAGTCGACAACGTTCGAAGAAAGATTGTTCTCGCGGCGACTTATAGGTTTCATTCACTCAGAGCCATTTTAACCATTGATCTGTAAAAAACTGGTTTTATACAGCTTACAGTTTGACTATTTTTGAACGGGCCATGCATGACATCGAATCGACGAGGCTATTTAAGAACATTGCATTTCGGGTTAATGTAAAGTATTTTACGATGTGGAACAAAACTATCACTCAATATGTCCAATTTTATTATCGCCTATATCAAACTTGTAATAAACCGAGTTATTTGAAGTATTTACTAATTCCACATCCTGTATTTTATGATGGATTCTGTTTTTTTGTCATCACCGCTTTCATTCCAGTTTCAGATCCACAGAAAAGGTTTATCGTGAGTCCTATAATGTTAGTCGTTTTGTCAATTGGGGCAAATTGGCCAAAATCTGATTGAGAAGGAAATATTTAAGAGCAGTGGGATGGTGGTCTTGAGGTTTATATTTTTGTTAATTGTTTTATTTATCTTTGTGATTTTATAATTGGATTGTATTTTTCGATCAAAAAAGAAAAAACAAAAAGACAATGAAAAAAATCTTTCTTTTTCATACGCTTGTCAAAAAAAAAAAAAAAGAAAAAGAAAAACATAGAAAAGTTCTTAAATATGCGGCGAGTGGGCGGGTGTGTGGGCGTGTGTGTAGGCGTGTGTGTGGGCGAGTAAACTTAATTAATCTACTCAATATCTGTTACTTTTTCCGCTTGTCGGCGTTAAGAAATTAAATCCAAATTTATCAAATGTTCAATATTTCTCAAATTTCATTTGCCAACCTTGAAAAGTTATTGGACATTATTTTCCCGACGATCAGAAATCGGTTTTAAGAGGATTATTTCTGACATGCTTATAACATTAATTTCTGATAATTATGTTAGCTTTTGAGTCAGATGTCGTGTTATTGTGATTTCCTTATGCCGAGTATGTTGGAAGGGATGTAGAAACAAGAGAGATTATGTAGAACCCTAACAACCCCGATAAAAAGCCGCTCCGATAATCGGTTTGAGTTAAAGAAGTCAATGTTTGCTGAGATTTGTTGCGAAGCTGTCAATAGAAATCTATTTATTCCAGTGATTAATTTTCATCAGTCTTGGCAACTGCTGGTGTTAACAATATTCTAAAAGAAATGATTATTCATTCTTGCGAAATAAATTTATTTAAACCGGAATCAGAGATACTAGTTAAATTTACACCTTCACCTTTTAAATTAACATTGCACTAATTCGATTTGGAAAAACATGAATCCATTTTGCCCCATCACATGGGTTAAATAACTAAGCAGACAGTTCTTTCCTTCCTTAGGTCACAGTCAGTCGTTCACCTCTGAGCCGACTGTTCGGTTAAACTCTCTTCCTACGGGCGGGAGGAACCCGAAGGAGGCTACGCCGAAGGGCGGAGTCTCCTTCGGGGAGGTAAAACCGGCCCAGAACCCGTTTATACGGGTTCAAATGGGCTATTTTTTGGCCGAGCCTAATGGCTCGGGAATGCCCACGTTAAAAAGGCCTTGTGCCACATGACACCCTCGGTGGGGGGGGTGACTGAATATCGCCAGTCGAGAAGGAAAACGCTGAAGTCAAAACACAAGCTAACTCCCAGATAATAAATAAAAAGATTGTGTGGAGAGCTACGATTCTTTATATCCTGTATTTGCATGTTAGCTTAAAACAGGTATTATTAAAATAATAAATATAGGTATAAATAAATCTATAATTAAAATAAATGTTTGATATCCTGTAATATATATTGAAATAAATTTTTAAAAAATGACACATTCCAGAATATAAAATCTAAAATGGCAGATATCACTGTGAAACCCTTCAACAGCAAGTCCTGGGTACGGCTTTCCAATTATCTTTGAGAAATTGCTTCCAGATAATTTATTTTAGAACGCCGATCATCGACCCGCAAGGTATTTAAACATGCTATATCCAATCTCGACTTCAGTCACTTTCTCACAAACGTGGAGTAGTTACACCTCTCTCTTTCTACAAATATTTTAATGGCGACTATTCCGACGAGCTTTTTTTTTACCTGGTTTCCTACTAGATAGGTATCTTAGTCCCACACACTTACTGTTGAAATAGCTAAATGCAAGCGTTACTTCTACTGCAACAGTTTATTTTCTCGCATTTCTCACCTGTGGAACCCTCTTTCGTTTCCTTTGTTCCCTGATAACTACAATCTTTAAAAGTTGACAACGTATTCGTCTGTCTTCTTAAAAACTGTTCATCATTTGCCCTTCAATCCTTCCTATTCTCAGTCTTCTCTTTCATTTTCCTCCCTTTGACCCCCGGCGTACTAGTGACATTACCACCTTGATTGGGGTGAAATGAATATATATATATATATATATATATATATATATATATATATATATATATATATGAAATATATATATATATATATATATAAAGGCTTAAACACTAATATTCCATGGTTATAATTTATTACATATTAGTGTTTAAGCCTTTTTATTATATTCTTACTCTTTCCTGGACATTGAGTTCTACCTGTAGTCTATCTTTTGGATATATATATATATATATATATATATATATATATATATATATATATATATATATATATATATATATATATATATTTTTATGGGCGCGTGACCAGATGATTAAAACGTTCGTTTTCCGACCATGAGATTATTAGGCTTCGAATCTCACTATGTTAGGAAGCTGATATCTTGATGTTACCTGTCTGGATAGGCAATCCTTTTGAGTGAAATGGCGTAGACAGAACTGTTCGTCGATGGTTGTTCTAGCATGAAGTCACAAGTCACTGGGACCAAGTTTTTGATCGTACTGGCCGCCTTTTCTCAACTGTTGATCACGCCATGTTAGGAGATCTCTCCCAGTAACTCTACTTAAGGTTCGCTTAGGATTGATGAAGTATTAACCACAGGTTGGAACAATGAGTATTGAACAAACCTAAATATGCCTGAGCAGGCGTCTGCAACAGGGATTGTTTAGCCGCCCTAACAGATTTGTATATTTATATATATGGAGATCAGCCATTATTGCTTCATATAGTAAGAGGCTGAAAGATGATAAATTTAAAGTTTATGCTGTATTAAGGGGTTATCAAACATTACTAGAAAAAATACTCTCGTAAAATAGTTGGGGTAATATTATATTTCATACGATAAAAATAGTATTTAGATAACTATAATATTATAAAATGAATAATGTGACAATAATATGAATATATGCAATATAAATATATTCCCTTTAATATTGAATTACATCGTCATCATTATCATCATCGTCGTCGTCGTGATCAGTCCTATGACAGGATGTGATCATAGGTTCACTGCACATCTAGCCACCTGACCCGTCCCTTACACATATTTGGGTTGAAAGCCGAGGATGGATACATGTGTAAGCGTGTCTTGGGCAAGTAGTCCTGACGGAATGCATCCAATTTCGGGTCAAATCACAATCGATCTCGTCTAGCTTCAAACTTGCTTTGGTCACGGACACGTGGTCATTTACTCCAGAGGTCAAACTCTCTCTATCCGGGCTGTTAACTGCCTAGGAAACCCTGCAACTGATAGATTCTCAAGTGAGAGGTACTTCAAATCTAAAAGTTTGAACTTCGACCATGTGTATATCGTAATTTGATTCGTTAGTCGATTAATTCGTTTTCTACGGCTTAGCAACCCTTTACAGGTTACTTAAAGCGAAGAAAGTATCTATACATTGAAAGGTTTTATTGTTTGAAATAATAGTTTACAGATGCAAGTCTTAGTATTTAACCCATAGCTGGGGGGAGAAGAGTTAGATTTATACCTTTCCCAAAGTATTTAAGCGTAAGTGGATATAACGAACCAAACCGGAATTAGAACTCGGTTCTCCGATAAACAATTCCGAGCCATTATCCATTACACCACCCGCACATCCAAGTTTATTTTGCTTACTTTGTAGAAGGTATTTTTTTTGCTATAGCTATGCGCCTTTAGATTTAGAATTGAATGATTTGGTTTGTACGGTTTATCAATGTTCTGCATGTTATTTAAAGCCAGAAAATAATTTTAGCTTGTGAGAACTATATCTGGAGATAAAAATGGTTTCCTTTTCCAAGACTTACTATTTACCTCATATCTGTGGTGAGAAGAGGTGGATTCAAAACCTTTTTTAAAGAGTGTTTTGGCGTAGGTGGATATAACCAGTTCGACCGGAATTGGATACTCGGTTCTCCGATTAAAACTTCTGAGCCGAAATTCATTACACCAACCGTCCCATGTAAACTTACAGTACCGGATATTCCCAAGCGGTCACCCATCTATATACTGACCAGGTTCAACGTAGCTTAACTCCAGTTATCGAACGAGAATCGGTGTTTCAGCTCTATGTTTATGCAACTCCGGATTGCTGTATCACATTTTCTGTCTTCTGTTGAAGCACTCGGCTGTTAGTCACATTTCTGTACCCTCATGATTTTGAGGTTCTTAATACGTAACTCACAACCTAGGCTTTCTCTGTTGCCGTTCATCATATGTTATTTCTGTCTTTAATTACATTGACTAAGAAATCTTCCATTTGTTCTTCTTAATCTGCCATCAACACAGCGTCATCCGAGGATATTATGTTAACATTATATTCGCTGAAAACAAATACTATGTCTATAGGAACAAGTAAAAGTTAGCCCAATTTTGCATATTTTATTTCAAAGGCCCGGTCTGTTTATTCTAGCATAGCTTCTACTGTTACAAGTCCACGCGTGGATAGCTAGCAAGGATTAAACAACTGTGAAATGGCGGTTTAAATTTGAGTGAGCCAAACTTATAAAATATTGAATGTGCTTAGCAAGTTGTGTGTCGAGAATTCTGTTCCTATCGTTTATTGTGCCCATGGGCCAATTTAAATTTAAAAGGTATTTTAAAACACTTCAGGGTGTGGTCGATCATATCTGCCCACGGGTTCCTTTAGGGATGAATTTCCATGCATTCTCAGGAAATATCGTGAAGTAGTTTCCGGTCTACGGTTTGGAATTCAGACATCACCTTCCATTAGACTGACTGACAGCCAAGGCTACATCCCAATTCACAATGTTATTTAATATATATCTCATTCACACAGACGTAATGACGTAATCCTGCCATCAATCTATCGCTATTTCCATGGAAAATATACAGATCAGCTCCATTCTTTAGTTTCACCAGTTCATATCAGTCATGGGTCCTTACCTATAACTACAGAATGAACTCTTCCTAACACTATGTATACTACGCCTCTCAAGAGAGAGGGTCGAATCGAGTCGAGCCGATAGTAGTTCACTCCAAAACAGACTGACAGTCATACTAACACCTTCCACATCTTGTATTATTATTTCGTATAATATACCTTCGTTAATTCTACTCTTGTGTTCGTGTTGTTCTTCCTTGGTCTTCACCTGAACCATAACAATATCTTTACATGCAGGACACGCTATGCTACTTCCACTGAGTCGAATAAGTCTTATTCCCCCAGAATTCAAAATATAGAGAGAAACAGCTATTTTGGGGAACAGCCTATCACATTGACGCTTCCCTGAAAACTATCAACATAACCGCTTTAAAACATAGGTCAATCGTTGTCATTTTTATTCTGACAACTGTCATTTCCTATTCATCCTTTTTCATTCCTATCACACACCTCATTTAATATATACATTCTGACATGAACGCTCGATGTTGAGTGGCTTTAGCCTTAAAAGAATACAAAGGACAACAGATGCATTCATGCTTTCCCAAGGACATTAGTATGAAAAAGAACTTAACATTCTCGGTTCAGGATTTGAACTGATATCACTGCTTTCCAAGTTCTGTAACGATAACCGTCATTACCTTCACAGGTATAATTTAAAGAGATTATTGTTCCATGTACCTTTCAGCTCTTCTGTCTATTTGTGGTCAAAATTATAAAACAACGTTTAAAGAATTCTAAAGTTTACAATTGTCCAAGTTGTCTCACCTCCATTTGTAATTTGGTGCGACAGAGCAGCCGATAGCTATTGAACAATGCACTGCCTGCAGAGAAAGAATAATTCCTTAAATTTGTACCCAACCCCCACCTACATAATCAGTAGAAATCTTCCCATTCGTGATCCATTTTATCCTGTGGCACCAATCGATTGATACGAAACAAAGGCATGCCCTTACAGATTTTAGAAATCTGCACTTGCCGACGGCTCGGCACGAACAAGAATTAGATACAAGATGTTTATCACAGGCTAAAATCCTGGCTTTCTCTTGTCGATATGGAATGAACCGGGAAACGCGTTCGTTAGTGCAAAGCGTGATACACGCATTGTGCAGCGTTGGTTTATAACAGGACAATAGCTACTGCCATAAATGAATGGCCGTAGGGTTAAATGAGTTCAGACTTAAAACGAGCCGAGGAATTCGCAAGTCTGACCTAATCAAAATCAAGAAAATGTCGCAATCAACGTTGAAATGCACATTCCTAGATCACTGTACATATTTACAGCATCCACACGCTGTACTCTCTACACAGAGTTAAAGAATCCTAATTCCATTCATATCCTATTGGTAAGAAGGAAGTTCTACTCAAAGAGCTTCTTCCTGAGAACGACTACAATGCGCAACAGGCTCCCGAGATGATGCTTCTTTGATCACAGCAATTTAAACTTCTTCAAGTCTATGGCTGACCACTATTTATTATACGTATCCTCCTAACGTGCACCTAAATTATTATTTTATGTCCATATAAAAACTTTCTCCAGTAAACTTCTACCTAGAGATGGTCTTAGTTCTTGTATTAGTTGAACGTTTATTTTAAAAAAAAGTACTTCATTAAATCTCTTTCTAAATGAATAGATAAATTCAAAAAAAAATTATAAGCCGTAATATAAACGAGTTTTTTGCTGATAATATTTTAAGCATAAGTGTCTATTGAATTATTGTATTATGTGAGTTTTCAAACTTTCTGCCATTTTTTAACGTATTGTGTCAATTTGTGTTGTGTTGTCTTTAGTATATACTAGCAGCATGGCCCAGCGTTGCCCGTGCTTAATTCAAAAATCGTACGACTCATACAGCAATCGCTATCACTTGACTTAAAATATTTTTGCCCTTCCTTGCCTTTAAAGGAGTGCCCTTTGTCGTGCTGATGTTGCTATATGCCTTACTTCTTGCCTATCTGACACTGCGAATTTTTAACAAGCTCTCTACTAAACATTAAATCTGTTACGAAAAAAGAACTAAACAAAATGAACACAAAACGATCAGCTTAAAAAAGAACTCGTAACTGGAAAAACTGAATGAAAAAAGAATATTAGCAACAAATACTTTTTCACTCCCAATTAAGTTCTGCGGAATCAGAATCAACGTTGAGTTTAAGCAAGAGGATGAGCCAATTGGAGTAAAGTGCCATGCAGATTTAAATTTTTTCCACTTGTGACGAATGCAGCTATCGATTTTTTTTGCATGCTAGCATGCTAGTTAACATTCGTGTCAGTCAGCTGTTGGCTCTCACGCTGGCCAATAGAATCTTCCTGCATATTCGTGGAAGCCAGCTATAGGCTCTCACTTTGGCAAGAACAAAATGGCCGCAAACTACATGAAAAGTGCCGTAGAAGCATGAAAAAATCGATTATTTCCACTATCGATGGGAGTTGGGAAATGCAAAGTCGGTCTTCCCCCTAACTTGAAGCATGTGCATGTAATTTTTGGTGCAAATCCGTCGAAAATTGCGGCCCTGCATTCGTTACAAACACACACACACACACACACACACACACACACACACACACACACACACACACACACACACACACACACACACACCTCTCCTGCCTTTTACACACACACACACACACACACACATATATATATATAAATTTGTGTGTGTGTAAAATGTTTTTTTCTATTTATTAATTCGACAGATTTTAACACTTTAAACATTATTTTGGAGGACGCTCTTATTTGAGTAGACGCTCCGTTTATTTATTATACTTTATATCGATTTATTTATTATACCTTATATCTATTTTCGTTTAAAGGCCTGAATATGCAAGAAATCTTATCAAAGAAAAATATGGGCATGTGCTTGTGTGTGCAAGACATGCCACGTGAATCATTATTTCATTCACCAATTAGTAATCTTTTCATTTTTGTGTTACAGTACGAAATAAAGACAGTTCTGAACATTATTCAGCTCCTCATCATACAGATATGCACAATAATCATAAGCTTTAGCTTGTTTCTGTTAGAAGAAAATCTTTTGAAATTTAAAGTAATAAAATTTGTCGTATTAATGAATAAAAAAATCCAGTACTTTATTAGAAATTGCTTTATTAACTGAGCAGATATAAAATTTCTCCTAAAGGCTCCATTTAGTCAAAAGGTTTCCGTGGTCGAGTCGGTTAAAGCACGTTGATATATATACAGCAGTTCTCTCAGTCCCGGTGAGGACGCAGGTTCGAATTCTACTGGTGAGCGCGTGTTTTTTCTTTCTTTACTTAAATTTCTCGAATGCTCAGACCGTTTGATATGCAAGGTAATATTCGGATATAGATTTCAATTTGCGAACAAACGTTGAAATACTGATCATTTATTTTTGCATTCTAATTGTATAATAGTAACAGTAATATTAGCCGTTTCCTTAAAAGAAAACATTCGGAATTCAATGACAGAAGAATCAGTTCCTAATTGAGGTTGTAATTTATACGATTTTCTGGAAAACAGGTCTCTCGTGTCCATTAACAGTTATTGCTCCTCCCAGCATTAATGGGGGCTTTCTTCCTGGCCTTTGGTTTCTTGTTTTTGGAATTGTTCTTTGTTTCTGTGGCGCCAGTGCAAGATATTCGAATAAGATTGCTCGATGCTAAGCTCTACATACTTAATTTGTACGAAATCACTTTTACTCATTCATCTGAGAAGCAGTTGTATACAACTGACAGTTTAGTTACTTCTAAATGGTTTTGCCGCGGTGCATGGCATTCCTATGAACATATTTTGACCTGACGAGAAGTTTTATGAACATGACTCGAGTTTTTAGGTTAATATTTTTTTTTTTTTTTGTGACAACTTGCAGTGTTTGCCGAAAATACGCCTAGCACAGCCTATACAGTGTTCAGTTTCTTTATCTTCTTAGTAAAGTGATCCATATTTGATATTTACCAATTCCATATCTAGAATTTATATGGCAGGTTCAGTCCAGGTACTTCGTCCTGGGTAAGACGTTAAACTACATCCGAGTCCTGGGTAAGACGTTAAACTACATCCGAGTCCTGGGTAAGACGTTAAACTACATCCGTGTCCTGACTAAGACGTTAAACTACGTCCAACAGCAAGGCCTCTGATCAGGAGGTTTTGAGGAGCATGGAACCACCTCTTAATTGATGG